CCGGTGGCCATTTTGAAACCGCCAAGCAGCTGTCCGAAAATCGTCGTTTTGCAAAGAATCGGTTCCCGAAGCAGAGAACTGATCATCGAAAAGCGAAAAACCCCTATTTAGACCATCGTTCTGCGATCGCAATTGCGATTGCAAAAAGATCATCGTAATGCAGTTTCGTCGTAATGTGGGGCAATCGTAAAGCAAGGCACCACTGTAGTTGTAATTCACATCATATGAGAGCAGCCACGTACCACAGTGATGGAAAGTAACTTTTTTGACACTCGCAGAATCCTCCAAGTAGCCATCACTAAAGATTTACCCGGTGGCCATTTTGAAACCGCCAAGCAGCTGTCCGAAAATCGTCGTTTTGCAAAGAATCGGTTCCCGAAGCAGAGAACTGATCATCGAAAAGCGAAAAACCCCTATTTAGACCATCGTTCTGCGATCGCAATTGCGATTGCAAAAAGATCATCGTAATGCAGTTTCGTCGTAAAGTGGGGCAATCGTAAAGCAAGGCACCACTGTAGTTGTAATTCACATCATATGAGAGTAGCCACGTACCACAGTGGTGGAAAGTAACTTTTTTGACGCAGAATCCTCCAAGTAGCCATCACTAAAGAGAGGTAGGGACAGGGGTTTAATTAATTTGCTAAGAGCCGAAGAGAGGAAGCGAGTGAGAGAAACTTCAGAATGAGAGCTGACATTGCCAGAGAGCTGCTGGAGGTAAAGGCCATGAGCCTCTCTCAGTGAACGTCACTTTATCGATTTTCCCCCTTCAGCCACAGCATTCCAGTTTGCGATGAGAACTGGAATACACCTTTTCTTTAGAAAAGACCAGCACCATTAATTAATGCAGGAATAACCGGGCCATCATGAAGACTTGCAGAAAAGACTGCTCCACAGGTAGCTGGCTAACAGATTTGGGATCTGTCCTCTTCTGCTGTCCTCAAGGCTACTGCCAAGGCATCAGCAAAACAAGCTTGACCTACCTTTTGTTAGCTAGCAATAGAAAATTAAGTATATAAGAAAGGGACTCATGATGAAATTGGCATGAATTAGTGTGATAGATTGAAGAGTTAATGTGGGAGGCAAGGGGTCAAATTCTCCTTTTTCCTACCAAGTCTTTAATTTGTTGAGAAGGCCAGTACTGTAATACTTTTCCAAGAATGCCAGAGATGCAGTTACCTCAAAGTGGAAACTGCTAAACCACAACATACTTTTGCACTATTGAAAGAGCAGGCCAGGTAGGTGGGGCTCGTCAGCTTGCAGAAAAGACTGCTCCACAGGTAGCAGGCTAACAGATTTGGGAGAAGGTCTGTCCTCTTCTGCTGTCCTCAAGGCTACTGCCAAGGCATCAGCAAAACAAGCTTGACCTACCTTTTGTTAGCTAGCAATAGAAAATTAGGCACAGTATATGAGAAAGGGACTCATAATGAAATTGGCGTGAATTAGTGTGATAGATTGAAGAGTTAATGTGGGAGGCAAGGGGTCAAATTCTCCTTTTTCCTACCAAGTCTTTAATTTGTTGAGAAGGCCAGTACTGTAATACTTTTCCAAGAATGCCAGAGATGCAGTTCCCTCAAAGTGGAAACTGCTAAACCACAACCAACTGTAGCCTCAGTTATTTCTTGGGATGAACCTGCCATTCCTAGAGTATGCCAGACAAGGCATCACAATATGCCTAGTATATTCAGGGATGCTGTGGCAAGTGATCTCTCTCTCACACACAAGAACACGGCCTCAAACTCCTTGGAGGAGTTTGCTAGGCTGAACTGAACCAAGCACCAGACATCAGAGCTCTCCTCACTCACCTCACTCCTATATACTGTTCTTTGTTGAGATGCCAGCCTTATCCCACAAAAATTGGGGCAGTGTTGCAGCTGTTCCCACCTCAATTTCTCACCTTCTGAGTGTGTAAACATGAAAATGAAGTTCACAGATTGCTTACCATAACAATCAGAAGGATAAAATTAAACTGTGTCTACTAGAAAATGGAATGAAACACAGGGTCCTTCAGTTTAGAACGTCTCC